ATTTATTTATATATATACATGATATATTTATAGATATATACACAAATTCTCTGGAATAAACCTTTTTGATATAAGTTAAAGGCTCTTGCCTACAGGTACCCGTAATTTCTTTCTCCGAGTCACTGCACGTAGATGGAGCCAAACCGCTGGCGTCGAGGGGTGGCTGGAGGAGCTGCTCCCCCACTCACCCTTGGCAAGCAAAACCACACAAACCCCAAAAGCAAGAATTTTTTCCCCCCAAAATTGGCTGTTCTCAAAGGTCAAGATGTGACTAGAGATGCCATGTGGGCACCCAGGAGCCAGGTCTCAGGGCACTCTGCTGCTGTCACATGGGTGATACTCTCCTCCCCACAGTCACCATGGGGTCTCTGCCCATCCTGGTGTCTGCTTGGCACAGCCCCATCGCTCCCAGCCCAGTGCAAGGGCCAAAGCGTTGACACTTCAGGTGACTTGACTCTTTTTGTGATTTTTATTTTCATTTCTCGGTGACAATTTGCATTTGACTTAATTTTGCTTTTTCTTCTTCCAAAAAGGGTTCCTTCTAATGTAGCTGGGTAGTACGATCATGAAGCTATAAAAACGACGACAACAAAAATATAGATATTTTTATAAATATATGAATCCCTGCAGGCAACGTGGCTTTTCAGCTCCACCAAAAAGGTTCATGTACAGATTGCATAAGCAAAGAATTTCCACATTCTTTACACTTTTTTTGTGTATGTGTGTTGGTTTTGTTTTTTGAAAAGAAGATTTCTCTTTTTTCTCTTCTTCGTATTGCAGGCACAGAACGGTTACTCTGGCACTCGAAGCGCAAGCGCGAAGACTGGGAGGTCAGCACCCCCAGGTTCAACATTCTGCGTAGTAAAAAACAAAAAAAAATTCATCGAGGATAGATCATCTTGGCAAGAGATTAGTTCCTTCAGGCCAAACAGTGCTTCTTGACTTTTCATACAGCAATAGGGAAAAAAAAAATGTAAAAATGAAAAAAAATAGGTTTTTTTTTTTTCCACCCTGAACAGCTTGTCAACAAGACAAATCTCCGGGCACCATCATGCAGTTCCACTGGAAGATCCTTCACTATGGTTTCATCCCTGGCGCCCCACACTTGCGCCTCCGTGGGCACAGCGCCCGCCCATCCATCGTCCATCCATCTGCACAGAGGGCCCTCACGTCCGGACGACGCCGTTGCAAGGTGGGTGCTTGGGCAGACAGGGCTCATCGGGCAGCAGGTCATGTGCAAAGACCGAGTCGTCCCCCGAGGAGCAGGTGCTGTGGGTGTCCTGGCCAGCTGGTGAGTACTGCTCAAAGGGCACTGAGAGGTCCAGGTACTCCTGCCAGGGTGACAGACCCATCAATGTTAGGTAGCCCACACCAGGGACCAAGTTACCCCTTCCCACATCCACCCCACCACACTCACATCAGTGGATGTCACGGTGAGGACCCTGTCCAGGTCTTCCACCAGCTGCTTGAAGGTGGGTCGCTGCGATGGGACGGCGTGCCAGCACTCCCGCATGATCATGTACCTGCATGACAGAGGAGATGGGACTGTCACCCTCGGTGGGGCTAAGTGGCACCCACCCAACAGCCCACCCACCCCCAAATGGGAGAACAGCTATAGCAAACAACTTCAGCCATGGTGGCCTTGGTGCGTTGCCAGCCGGAGGGAAGAGGAGGGTTTTGTGGAGCAATGATCCTCGTTATTGACCATCTCATGCGTGACCATGCTCTCAGGGCAGGAGGAGGACCTGTCCTGAAGATGACACACCAGAGCTATACCCCCAACTGTCATCTGCCAAATGAGGGCTCAGTCATGGACTGACCAGAAATGAGTTAGGGTGGGTAAGTCTACCTGGACGGCCACATAATGTCACAATGGGGATGCCCCAATAGCCCAAGCCACAGTCTGGGGTACTATTTGGCCACAGAGAGAAGGGGAAGCAGGGCGAGGAGGTCAGCCACCACCACACACTCACAAATCATGAGTGCAGTTTGCAGGTTTGTCCATCCGATGGCCTTCCTTCAAGAGCTTGAAGAGTTCCTCAACAGGAATTCCCGGGTATGGAGACCCTCCCAAAGTGAAGATCTCCCATAGTAGCACTCCAAAAGACCAGCTGGAAACCAAAGAAAGATCTTTAAAATTCAATGAGGTTTTTTTTCACGCCCCCCCCTGCCCCATATCCCTTCTCCCCTGCTTGGCTTTATTTCTGTGCAGCCATGCATAGCTAACAAAGTCATCAATAGCATGACTAATTGCCTAGGCCATTTTTACTAGTTACTTGGAGATCTCTGCTGATCCAACTCAATAGCAAAGAAATCCCAGGCACCAAGTCTGAAATTGAAATGAGCATTTAATCAGATAGGTGACAGTCCATCTATCACCCCCAGCTCTTTGTTAGGTCTTCCACCAGCTCCACTGAATGGAACAAATCAAATTATTCATGCACGACTTCACTGAATTGCAGGCTTGGAACCACAGGCCACTAATTGTGCAAGCTGATACCAAAACTTGCTTGTTACAACATTCATTTCACTGGCCAAGCTGGGAGAAAAATACCCCAACAAAAATCAGTGGAGCACTAATGTTACACGTTCCAGTCCTGCAGCTGTGCTCTGGTTAAAAGTCCTCTTTTTCAAATATATCTTTTGCTCTCCTCATTTTCTTTTTAAAAACAGGGATTATCTGTCTCTGTTTCGCTTTCATGCACACTCGCTCTCCCGTTCTCTAGCTTTGATTTATCTGTCATGCCCGCTGCAGCATTACCTAAGCATGGAAACTATGATTTAAGATCAATAAAAGGAGAGTATGTGAAAAATACAGAAACAGAAAACACTCATTTGTCCAATTGCAAACAGGGAGCTTTGGGGAGCAGGCAGGCTGGCCACTGAGGTACTGTAAAAATGCCATTATTGACCAAATATTGCAGTAAAAAGCTAGTGTGCATGTGGAGCTGCTTCAGCCCCTGGAAAATTCAGATGTGATACAGATTTACATGTGAGGCAGGCTCTGCTGTTTGCTTACTGTGCAGAGGTACTAAAACAGATGAGTAGTATTAGGAAAAATAAAGGAAATAAATCAAGTGGCAAAATGAATCTGAGTGTATATTTTCTGAATATTCTCTGATCAGTTCTAACAGCAGACGAGTATTTCAAGCTCATTCCATGTACTTGACTAAAGCATAACTGTCTGGGGTGAGGGTGAAGTGTGGAGGACACTAAGGATAATCTTTTTTTCATGGAGTTTTTTTAGCACAATATTTTTCAACTGCAGGATGAATCACCTCATCTATAAACTGGACAAGAAATACCTGCCTGTCTTCCAAGACTTTTTGAGCAGCTCACTAGAGATCCTCAGATGAAAGCACCAGATAATGGCAAAATAAAACCATGTGCGCAAAGATGCAGCTTGGAATCAATTCCTGTGTTCTTGCATCCCCAAGCACCCCAGCAGTGAACAAGTCCTGCTCGTGCTTAGCAGTACATTTGTCTGCAAGATACTATGGGTGTCGATTTCCCTGTCATTTTTGTTTCTTCAAAAAAAGTGTGGGTATGCTTACACATCGCTCTGGTGAGTATAGACCCGGTCAAACAAGGCTTCTGGAGCCATCCATTTCACAGGCAGCCGACCCTGTAATTAGGAAGACAATGGGAACAACCCATCAGCATATTCCCCCAGCCACAACGGCACCATCTGAATCTTCTTTTCTAATCCAGTTTGAAACATTTTCATTAACAACTGCATCTGCCTTCCCGGTCACTGGGCAAAGCAGCAGTGGCCACATATAAACAGATTAGAGCATTTGATCCCTGGATCTTCGCTGACAATCTTTGCAGTAAATGTTCTCTGTAGAGGACTGTATTTCACTGCCAAGGCAGGTTTAACATATCAGTGTATCTAAATCTTTGCATGGGAACAGCATCTATTGCTCATAGATGCAATGAACTCTGTAGCAGAGCATGGGACAACACTTTCTGTCTCTTGGTTGGAAGAAACAGTTTACTCAAAGTCCAAACCCAGTTTAGGCGAAACTTGAAGCGAAACTTCCAAAGAGCGAAGGCAAGGGCCAGATCCTCTAAGAAACAAATCCTGATCCTGCTGGAGGCTAAGGGAGGAGGTCTGACCCTATCCTACATCAGGGTCATAAACACAGGCCATCATGTGAGAAATATGAGATGAGAAAGACCAGATTAATCATAATTATCTATGGCTTTGTTTGGTCCCTGGAGGGAGTCAGAAAGGACTGTTTCGAGTTTGAGCCATAATTTGGCTATGGGGGAACTTTGTCCTCTTCTGACCCACTGAGGGAGACAACTAGAGATGGAACACAGGCAGGATACACAAATGGGATTATGCTCTCAGCTGTTCAACACAGCTCAAAGAGGGAAAATCCATCTGATCTACGATCAAAATTCCCAAGAATTGTTATTAATTTATGATTAAGAAATCCCAGCAATTAAGAAAGATTTCTGATATGCTTTTGGAATGGATCAGTATGAGCACGGTGGGTTTAAAGGACTGCCTGGACATTTAGACCTCATGAAGACCCAAGTCCCTCAGGTTCTGCAATGCCCTCAACCTCTTCTACTGCCATCTCCACACTCTATCCTAGTTAAGACTTTTCCTCAGGGCTCAACATCTGCTGCAGGCTCTGAACCAAGACACACGGCTTCTCTCCAGCCTTTCATTCGTAAATTCATCTCTACAAAAAAATATAAACAACTCCAGGACTCGGCCCTTTTCTGGGACCATCTTCTCACTTTTGGCAGTGGTGTCAAGGGGATCGGATGTAAAACAGAGAAATGCATGAAAGCTAGGTAGCTCCAGGTATACGTGAAGTGATCTTCCTCTGTTAAGGGCTCTGGTGAGACAGAAATTGGCTCCTTGGTAACAGTAGTGGAATAGGGCTCCACTCCTCTTTGGTAAAAACCTCAGTTTCTTTTAGTTTAAAGCCTTCTGGCCAGAGCTGAGACTTCACAACCAGCTGCTAGCAGGAGCAGGATCTGTCAGGAAGAAACTAAATGGCAGATAGACTCCTGGGAGTCTACCTACAGTCCCTCACTAGGTGAGGTCCCCATCAGATTTCTTCCTCCTAAGCCCCTTTAGAAAAGGAGATGTGGGACAAGGGCCACTTGCTGCAGGGATGACCAAGTTTCCTGCCAGAAGGAGAACTGCATGTGCTTGGCAGCTCTGTACTTACATTGGTGGTTTTCTTGTAATAGTCAATGTTGTGAACGTCTCTAGCGAGGCCAAAATCAGCTATTTTCATCACATTATCTTCAGTGACTAACACGTTCCTGGCTGCCAAGTCACGATGAATGCACTGTGAAAGGTGAGCAAGTCAATAAATAAAGGCTTGTTAGCTGCTCGCGCCTGGAACCAACAGCACCGTGTGGTTTATGAGCTGCCGTTTCATTGACTCCCAAGCTCATAAAGCTGTGGGCACTGCTTAGCTCCTGGCTTTCTGTGTCACCGCCCCATCATGCATGCTCAGTGGAAACCACCTCTTAGCAACACCTAATCAGCAGCCTCAGCGCTGACACAGCCACACGCATGTCTTTTCTCTCCAAAGAGGGTGTACGGATAAGAGAGCCAATCCTCCTCTTCTGTGGGCACTTACTGGTATGTGAAGCTGTCTCTCTGCACTGCTTCCTCCAGGAAGAAAAGTGCAGGCTGATGTTTGAGGGGGAAGAAAATCCCCAAATTAACACATCCCCAATACATCCAAAATACATGGAATCGTGGAATGGTTTGGGTTGGAAGGGACTTTTAAAGGTCCAGCCCTCAACATCATAGCTGTAAGCTGAGCAATCAGCCTGCATTGTGCAGAAAGGGAGTTTAAAGCTACCATGGACCATCCACCTTGAACTGCAGGCACAAGACAAACACATCTGACATTTCAAACTGAACTTTCTCGAGCCATAATGCTCCTTGCCTGCAGAAAGGC